TAAGTTTATTGTTATTTTCTTGATCTTAACACAATCATTTGTGTGTCTAGTCATGGCTAATGAAAATGCAATAAATGTTGCTAAATCCCCTAGTTCTAGTCCATCACCTTCAATTAGAAAACTTGGAAAACACAATCAAGAAGAAGAGAAGGGTATTGATAATGATAATATTATTATTCCTAAAGAAGTGTTAATTGGTTCTCCACATCAACAAGAGAGTATTAATGAAGGTGATAATGATGATGAAATCAAGATTAATAAACATCATCATGATTCAATTGATAAGTCAATTTTTGGAGGTGGAGTTATTCTTGGAGGATTAGCAACAACCTTTTTTGTGGCAATATTTTGTTATATTAGAGCTACTAGAAGGAAGACTAATGTGGAGCCTAGTTCCCCTAGTGCCACATCATCAATAGTATGATGATTCATTTTTTCAGAATGAAAAAATTCTATATAAAGAGTCTGTCTTTCTGAATGGAGCCTTATGCGATACGAATCTAAAATTATTGGATTTTAATGCAGATATTAGATATCAGGTGAAAAGAAGAAAGATGAAAAATTATTTAAACCCTATTTTGATAGAAAATTGTAAAGATACCATTAGTCGATTATGATTTTTGGAATTTTTGTTGTATAAAAATTAAATAAAAATACTTATGTTTTACACTCGAGTTTCATTTGAGATAATTTAATGTTTGAAAATGGGGAAAATTTCATATATGGCAAACTTATTTGATTAATAACATTATATGGGTATAGTTTACCTAATTACATTCTATGAGTATAATTTAGTTATTTTAGGTATCTTTAATTTTGTATATAAGGTTTTTTTTGTTTTTTATTTATAGAATTTTATTTTAAAAAGTGATTTGTAACTGAAGCGTTAAATATGCTAACAATAAATATAGATAATGCCATAATTTACTGTAAACATCCTTTTTTTAAGGTAAACATTCAAATTTAATTTTTTTTAAAAAAAATAAGAATTATACAGCAATTGAAATAAAAGATAAACTTGTTTTTGCTGTTTATGAAACAGCAGTTCATCAATTTTTTTTATTTTTTCTTTGTAATCGAATTCAGGTAAGTGTTCATTGGATGAAAATTCATGTTTATTATTGCAATAATTATACAATGTTCTATTGGATTTACAAATTTTGATTTATGTGCGTTCGTTATTGTGATGTCATAATTTATTTATTTTTTGAAAAACTGGTTTCAAAATATGATTATTTTAAGCAGAAATTTCGTACTATACAATTATATACTTTTTGTTGATGTAGTATTTGTATATTATAAAGAAGATCAGTGTAAGCGAATACAGGTAATCGTTGGTGATAATTGTATATAGCCATAAAGTAAGTGTTTTGCTTTTGATACAATTATATACTTTTTTTTGATGTAGTATTTGTATATTAAAAAGAATATCAGTATAAAATCAAATCAGTAATTTGATTGTATAATATATACAAAAACAGACAATTTTAAAAGAAGTCATGTACAGATTAATTTTTGTATATGTCTTCAAACTTACCTTTTTTGTATATTAATATGTGTACATGAATATAGTAGTTAAACATGACAATATATACAACTGTCTAAATAACTTTATATATACTCCAATAATATATAAACTT